GCGCCTAAAGACTTTAATTTAGCTGCTTCAGAGCACAAAGCTTGCAATTGATGGTCAGCAATTAATAATTCTTGTGGTACATCGCCATCTTCCTCTATTTCATCCAGAGCTGCTTCTTCAGTATTTTCAAAAATTGTCTCTACTAATGTATTAAATCGCTGATACGTATTAGTTTCCATAAGCTCTTCTACACTGAGCTTTGGTAATACAGGAACAAGTTTTTTTTCGAATTTTCTGATTTTTGGCTTAACGGGTGACAGAGTCTCATCCTTTTTGTCTTCATCAACGTCGTCGTCATCATCATCGTCGTCGTCGTCGTCGTCGTCAATTAACCTTTTCCTTCTAGCAGATGATAAACGTTTCTCATCCGTATTTCTTTTCTTTTCTGCTTTCTCCTTTTCTTTTTGCGCTTGTCGCTCTTTCGCTCTGGATTTAAAGTATTTATTATTTTTGCCAATTTCCTCTTCACTGTCAGATTCAGATTTAATAGATTTTTCATCGTGATCTCGACTCGATATACTTGTTCTTGTCGCACGCATGGGAGATTTTTCATTAGAAGTATTGAGAGTTTTCTTCATTAATGCCTGATCTGCTAAAGATCTATTTAACATAATAATGGGTTCTTTTAAAGAAATTTTCACATCCTTTTCAAAAACATTATTTTGTTGCTGGTCTTGTTGAAATAAATGGGCTTGTTGCATCTGCGACTGATTCATATGCTCCGATTGATGTTGGTGTTGTGGATGATGATGTTCTAATGACATATGTGGATGCTGATGATGATGTTCTTGAAGCTGATGCTCAAATAAGTGTGGCTGCGGTATTGATACTGAATGCGGTACAGATTCTGACAAAGGCATCATGGTATTGTCCAAGCTTGTGTTTGTATTAACATTGTCAAATAAGCTAGGCTGAGATGTCATAGCAGTTGGGATCATCTCTCTACTGTGATTTGTATCCAAGCTTCCAATTGGTAAATCGATTTCAGGAAGACCTGTAACATGGTCAAGTATGAATTGCTGATTATCGTGAATTGTATGATCAATGTCCATTGCTTGAGGTATCTGAGATTGATGCATTTGTCTGTTCATCATAGGATCATAAATTTGTTGATGTACACTCATTGCTGGTTGGTGCATCTGATGTTGATGCAATGGATGATGATGCTGTGACTGCATTTGATGATGTTGCGTTACTGAAATTCCACTATCAGTTGGTGGTGTCATATGCATATTATGTTGTGGCGTCATTCCACTCGACATTATATGATGTTGAGGGGTGACATTACCAAGAGATGATATTAGAGGACTAGGAGTGCTCATGTGCGCTGGTGAATGCATATTAAATTGAGCAGTAACATTATTGAGACAATGAGTATCTTCTATTATGTGCTGCGGAGTAGTCGAAGTCCTTGTTTGTTCTGTTATGACAGTCGCACGAGACGACGGAGAAGGCACGGTAAAAGGACTGCTTTGCGTAACATCAGCATGATTTTGCGGTGCGACAGGCATCCTAGGTTGTTGGGCATGGGGAATACCACCAGGTAACATGGTTCTCCCGACTGCCATGTGCGCAGGACTACCTTGTGGGGTTTGTCTCGAACTAGAAGAATTCGAATAAGACGGTGAGAAACGTTCGTAATTACTCGCCATTTGATGGCTTTGTTGTGGCCAACTTCTAGGAGAATTGTACTGAGGTCCCTTGAATACATGTGGATTTGTTTGTAGAATGGCTTTTAAAAGCTCCGGAGCATTTTGCTGAGCTTCTAAAGGTTGCTCAAGATTTGCATAGTGATCTTTTAACTCAATATGATCGGACGAGGTCTGAGAGAGAGACATGATTAACTGGGGTACCAAATTTTCATCTCGCATACTTAAAAGAATTTGTGCCTCGTCCGCAACTCTCGGATGGAATAAAAGAGACTTATTTGTTAAAGTCTGCGGCAATGGAGTAGGAAGAGGCATTTCAGGCAACAGATCGGAGAGACTTGCTATTCCCGCAAGGGTAGTGATTGGTACACTCGGTATTACCCCATTCATTTTGATTTGGATTTGTTCTGGCATCTGATAGCTTGCCCTCGGTCCAAGTATAAATAGAGCGCAAGTGCAGAGAGGATGTAAATCTCTTGGGTTAAAATATGTAGAATCACAATTGTGTGTACTGGTCTGTAAGATGCATGTTTATCGTACCACGGATTCCCTCGCAAAATAACAATCGTTTGTTGAATCTCACAACTGTCACTTTATAGTTTAGCTAAAACAATATTGACACTAGCACAAGTGCCAAGGTGCCAGACACACAAAACAGTTCTCTCAAGTTCCCATGTTGTCTCAAGGCAAGGGTCAACCAAATTTTGAAGAGGCTCTAGGGTCCTGCAAAAGTTGATCCATGTTTTGGTACACCTGCCTCGGCACTGGATCTGAAAGCAAAGCAGCTTCGTGAAGGACTGAATGACGAGGTAGCGAGGAAGTGACGACGAGATGTGCGACGAGATATACAACGAATTAGCGACAAGTTAGCGACGAGGTAGCGACGAGGAGGTGAGGTGGAGGTGAGGGAAGAGCACTGAGCGCAGGATAGGGAGGGGTCTCACCTTGGTCGCAGAGACAACGCGGATCTCTGGTCCAGAAGCTTAGGTCGTATACAGGGACGCGGCACCTACAACGAGAAAAACAGCTCGAGTGTGGGAGGTCGAGTGCAGCGGCGACGACAACTCGGTCGCCTATATTTACCAAAGGCGCTTGTTTTGGTCGGCTCTCGCCTTCTAGCTAGCCTGTCATCCGCGGACCGTGGCCTACTTGGGTCCTTGCAGCTCCTCGCGCGTTTCCGGGCAGTTGCCCCGGGGCGGCTTCCCTCCTTAGACGTCTCGGTCCCGTCGCTAGATAGGTTGCGAGTTCAAGCGGCCTCCGACTAGTTTAGAGTAGCAGCCGCGGCTCTCTCGCGGGGACGTCAGGCAGCGATGCAACGCAGGAACGCGGCACACACTTCTTTACTGGCGTTCCCCGCGACGGTGCGCTAATATTCGACTTGGGGCCGCGACGTCGAAGATCTGTCTTAGGGATTCGCGCGCACGGCCGCTTGCGGCACAAGCACTATTTATAGTGCAGATACGAAGAAAACAGACACAAAGGCGTCCATTTTGCTAGATGCTGCTCTCTCTCTCCTCTAGTCCTGTCTCCGCCGCGGGTTTGGTGGCGGCGCTGAGGCGAGACAGACAACGGGACTGACGCAGACGGAGATAGTGCCGATGCCAGCGCACACACGTACACCAATACGGGCGCTCTTGCAGGAATAGCGGGATAATGGATGGAGCCGCCGTCGCCGCCGTCGCCACCGCCGCAGCTACCACCGCCGTCACCGCTGCTACCGCCGCTGCCACCGTCACCGCCACCGTCGCCGTCGCCGTCGCCGTCACCGTCGCCGTCGCCGTCGCCGTTGTCGCCGCCGCCGAGGCCTGCGCTCGAGCGAGAGAGAGAGAGCGGAAGTTGCGTAGTCTGGTGCGCGGGGGCCACAGAAGATCTTGGGAGCGCGAAACGTCCGATCCGAGGTCTCAGGGTCTTCGCCGCGTAAGGAGAAGGCTCGTCATGACAACGCCAGAGGTCGCGAGTAGTCCGGGACGCAATTTGAGGTGACGGTAAAGGGCGCGGGCCGTGGAACGGGGATCAGGAATTGTGATTCCCGGAAATCCGCGACCGCGGCCGCGAACTTTGGAGCTCTCTAATGCTCCTGAGCTGTTGAAGTCGCGGAGGCTCGATCAAATGCGCTTCTCCTGGAGCACGAGCAACTGCTGCCAGCTATAAGCAATTCCGGGATGTAGGTATGTGCGCGCGCAGTGTTTCTCGCGGCCGCGAATTTTTAAATTTGTTTAAAACCTACGAGGTACCCTCGTTGCTTACGAGGGTCAGTTACAGTTTTCAAAGAGTCACTGATCAAACATTCTTATTTAATTCGAACGATTTATTTCGCTTTCGGCGCAGTTGTTTTTCATACAAAATGCAAGAAGGGTATTAAGGTTTGCAAAGCACCTCTTATTAGCCATCATCAGATATATTTTTATGAAATTTTAATCTTATTAGTACAAAATCGGTTAAATGACTACTGCTTAAATAATCTTGTAAAATTAATTCATTTAACTTTCACTCGATTGACTTTTATGATTTTTGAATGTGAAAAAAGATGTGTTCTTTATATATTAAAGAATGTAGAATTTAATTCAATATTTGTTTAAAAGATTCCTTTGCTCAAAATTTTTTCAAATGCTTTTTTTTTCATTATATTTATTTCAAAATACTTTAGATGATTATATTCACACGAAACGTCAAACCATTCATTTCAAATTACAATTATATTATTATCGGTAAAATCATTTTATTTATTTCTTAAAATTGATTGCATTATCAATCTAGAACATAGGGAATTACAGAAATTTAATGCCTATTAATACTATAAAAGATTCCATTGTCTATCATAATAAAACGTAAATTCTTCATATTTTTGGTATATTTATTAAGAATAAGATTTATTTTGTAAAATTATTTATAGTATTGATTATTAATTTGATTTAAAATAAATTTGAAAATTATTATTAATTTAAAATATAAATATAACTAGTACATGTATGTTCTTTGCAAAAATTGAGAATTGATTGTAATTTTCCTTTTTTTTTTTACGTATGAATCTATAAATGTATTGAAATAATGAAACCGTAACTTTACACAAACAAGACCTGTTCCTCAATACCAATTCATCAAATTCATTGAACTTTTTAAAAAGTAATGTTTATTAATATTGTTATAATATTTATAAGTTCAACACAATAGAATAAAAATACTAATAGTTGCCCAATATCCTAATATTTATAATACAAAGATAAAGTTGTTTTTATTTCATTATCTTTATTAAAATTATGAGCGTACGTATATATTTTTTATTTAATGTTACCAAAAGTTTATAATCTGATTTTTTAATAATAATATTTTATAACAAATAGATCGGTTAATAAAACATTTTTATAAACTTGTGATCAATAAATATTTATAAATATTTAAAATTTGGTCATTATTTTATTCTAATAAATTTTAAAAGAAATACATTTAAAATACGGTCGATTAATAATATGTTTACTCTGTTTTAAATAATTTATAAGGTTAGATGATTTTTATTTTTGTGAATGACTCGTTAAAGGTAATTTTATTTGAAAATTATAATATGCTTTTATGAAAAAATATTGTACACTATAATACATTTGAAGAAAGTAAATTTACACGACGATAATTCTAAGTCGTTCTTGTCGAATATATTCCTTATGTGCAGGGGGTACATATGGATTCGTTTCTGGATCCAAATTTAAGCTGAAAATTAGAGATAATTATAACATTGAATAGGCACAAATATATTTATATTATAATTAGAATTATAATTTATGGTAATGTTGAAGAAGTTCTTTAAATATCGTTATCATTCTCTTTTACATTATTATAACACTATTTAAAATTTTAAATTATTGCAAAAATAAAATTTAATAACATATGTACAGCGAGATAATAATTATATTAATTAAAAGAAATTTTTAATCATATTTTTAATTTATAATAATTACAAACAAAATTATTAGGAATAAATTTATTCGATTTTTGAATATTTTATGTTGAATGAAGTTATCAGTTTAAATATATTTTAATTTATGCAGATTATATTAAAACAATTCTTTTTCTTAAATTGAAAGTAAAAATATACTAATTAAGATATTTTACTATAAAATATAATTTAATTTATGTTTTTCATTTAATATTTAGTTAATTATAAAAAATAAAGAATTATATGAAATTAGAATGGAATGCATGACTAAATAATTTATATAATTACATACCTTTTTTAAATATAGTTTGCATAGCAATTATTATTCGGTTCTCTTAGATTTCAAGAAAAAATTTAAGTCTTACGTTATAAAATCCGAACACAAACTAACAAATATGCTTTCTTATTTGAAATATAATAAGTTTGAATTATGTTTTGCACTAGCTTTTATGTATTTATAACGATTTAAGTACTTTTACATTTAACTTTCACATCCATTTTAAAAAATTATCTCAATTGAAAAGTTTTATCCAAATATTATTGATACTCAATTATTATTAATAATCAATTGTGGAATAAATTCAATGAGTGAAAATATAAAAATTGTTTTTACTTCAATTTTATTTTATTCAGAATATTAGAATTGTTGACAAATAGATAATTTAAAAATTTTATAAGAAAAATAAAACAAGGAAAACAAGGAATTATTCACTTGTATATAATTCTGTTAATTGATAAAATTGCTTAAGATGTTTTTTTGTTTATAAAATAAGTAAATAAAAAAAATTTGAATCTTAAATGTTAGTTCTTGTACAATATTTATTTTTCGAATTTATTCTCTATATAATATTTTTTCAGTTATAGTTTATAAATTTGTTGCATCAATAACGGTTAATAAATTTTAATTATACTTTATGCATAACAATATAATTTTATTTTTCAATAAAATTTGTTCAAAATATTATATCAACTTAATATTTTTGTTTAATCTATAAATATGCTTGGTTAAGTAAATTTATATATAGTTTATGTTTGTTATAAAATTATTAAAAAATTGTGTTTTAAGAGAATAATGTAATTTCACTAGTTTAAAGCTGCATATGGTTCAAATAATATCCATATAATAATATTCAAGGAGTGTTGAAAATATTCTATTTATAGAAAATAGTATGATATAAGATAGCGTTGTAAGAAATTTTTAAAACAATAACTAAGAAAAAAAAAATGGAAGAAATTAGTAATTAAAACATTAATGCAAATTGCTAAGAACGAATTGAATTATATCTGATATAATTCTAAAAATTATTATTTGCATGTATTAATTGTAAATTATTCTTTACTCGAAATAGTATTAAAAAATAATTAATTTTCATAGTTAAGGATTGAGAATAAGCTATAAACAAATATAATATTTTTTAAATAAAAATTAATTCTTAATGAAATACTAATTATTTATTCGTTTTTCATTTATATTTATTCAGTAAAATTTAAATACATGCATGCGCAGACACACACACACACACACACTTTTATTAGTGCGTAAATATATTATATATATATATATATATATATATTGCAAGAAGATAACAAAAACAATTTTCAAGTTTTAAAAGAACGTAAGGAACGGAACAATATTGCAATTATTTTTCGTTGTATATAAAATAACTATCTTACTTGTAATGTCTTGGCGCATCACCACAATCGACATTGTACCACCAATCGCAGGCGAATTCTTTTTGATTAAATATTGTACCATTAGCACATAAAAAACTTGCTCCTTGATCACCTTCTCGACCATCATGGCATACATGATAAACCTGAAATGAAATAAAAAATGTTATATTTTCAGATAAATTTTAAGAGAGTATTTGCAAATCTTTTTTTGAGTTGTATTATATATCAGACTAAAAAAATTTTTTGTTGTTGTTGTTATTTGTATTATATAAAATAAAAATGATAATTTTTAAAACATTTTAATTTCTGATTATTACAATTTTCTATAGCATTTATAATTTTATAGTTAAATGTCCAATTTCTAAAATATCTAAGCTTATTTTCAAGCATTAATTTTACAAAATCATGTATTGCGTATAATTGCATTTTTATAGAATTTTTAAAGTAATCTTCAGATTAGAATGTTAATTTATTAAAAATTCCATCTACAAAAATCAGTCAAAAATAAATTTACCGAAGTTAGGGAATCACAAAAAGAACAATCAACAAAGTTTACAAATATTATTAATTATATTTTACAATAAAGATTGTTCATTATCATAAAGTTGAATAATGATTTAGATAAAATTTAGACAAGTTTTTTTCTATGAATAAAATAGATTATTATAAGTGGAGAAAGAGAAATTTAAATATCATAGTGAATTTAGGTTTTAAAAATAAAATATTTCTTTGAATTTTTATTATATTTTTGGTGTTTAAATATAGAAAAATAATAATCCTTACTTGACAACCAGTTTCGAGATTGGCATACATGCCTGGTAAAGCTGGTACATGTTGGCAGCTGAAACTTGTTTGTGGTATTGCGTGATAAAGAGGATAATCAATCCATGGTGTCCCCGGGATTTTTTCCAGATTTTGTTTATTTTTTTCTTGTTTCTTTCTCAATGTAAAATCTGCTATTGTTTTCAGAAGTCTGTTGTTAGGATCAACGCTTAACCTTTGCCTAAATATCTCGTCCTATAACAATAGTTGAATTAATTGTTTTTTATTTTTTGTTTTTTAATTAATAATTTTTCCATGGTAGATTTTAAAGCAATAACTGTTAAAAGTAATAAAGAAACTTGAACTACATACAAGGTTGAGTAATGCAGTTAAAAACTACTTATTTGATACTTAGAAAGGAAGGGGACTGGAAATGGATTAGTTTTTCGCTATGGTATATGATTTCAATTTCTTCATACTTCTCGTTGGCTCTACTGATGTGTAATGACATTTTTTTTTTTTGAAATTAATATATAATTAAATGTCACGCATAATACAATCAAATTTTACATTTTACTTATAATAATGATCTTAAAACTCGGAACGTAAGGATCTATTCTAAAGTGGAAATTAATATTTTTTAAAGATTTGCTATTAGAAATTGGTTTGGGATAGTTAATATTAATTATATTCTTTTTACGGAATTAAACTTTTTTTTTTATACCTAATAGATTATTAGTTTTAGCAATTAAGTTTATCAGTGCTCTGCTTTGAAAAGTTGAAATAAAATGGATTGTCAAGATAATTAAAATTTGATAATTGATAATGCGCTTCATTTCGGTATCTGTTGCGATTATAAGGCTATTACTGTGGCAAGGCGAGGGGCTTACGTGCGAGAGGTCCGCAAGGACATGCAGTAGAAATAGTATCAGCAGCAGCAACAATGATAACGATGTGGCTCGGAGTTCTTGCATTTTGACTTGGGGCTGAGATTCTAGAGTACGGCTCTTGGCTGCGCCTGGCTAAGAAAAACTGTTTTGCTTCGGCCGGTCACCGCGTGCTACGCGCGTGCAATTATGTCACTGGGCGCCGATTGGGAGAAAGTTCGTCCAGTGACTGTGGCAGGTCTGAAGTTACCCCTACCCACGACCTTCCCCCATTTAAGACCCTATGCGTGGACAAAGCCATTCTTTTTCGTTCTTCCTTCCTCGCGGCTAGTCGCTATTTTCAGCCTCCGAGGGTCGCAAAAGTTAGTAGTTCAGCTTCATGTCGTACGTCTGTTTACCTTTACTTCTCTTATTGAGGAATTATACCGAGGAAGGTTTTGTAATGAAAACGAAGCATAATCGTTTCCCAGTTGCGGATAACGCATCCATGTTAATTGATTCAACTGCAGTTTTCAGTCGTCGTTCATTGTTATTTTGTTATTTTAAGCGACATTTACATAAGAATTGAAGTTCTCTGTCAATTTAATTAGATTATAAAACGTATCTTTAAGATTGCATTCCTTTTTTAAGTGTCTACTGCTGATTGGAACATTGAAAGTGAGAAGTTGAAACGAGGCTGTTCGTGAAAGTACGGTATACTTGAATTCCAATTGAAACTTGTTCTGTACTATACGTAATAGTATTCAAAATAGTGTCAAACCAATTGAAATATTTTTTTAGTCAATAAAGGTTTTTGTCAAATTTGTTGTTAATTAGGTCAGAAACCTAATTTTTCCTTTTTGCATTTTCAATATCAAGTTTAACTCTGAATAAATACGGTATTATTATTTATTACTACTGGTTGTGAAATTATTAAAATCGTCGTTTTATTATTGCATTATTACAAATTTTAAATTATGACGGTGCTGATATAAAATTGTCAATATTTATTCTATTTTGTAAAGAAAAGATATGCATACGAATAAAGCAAAATTTTTATTGCTCTAATAGATTTATGACACATTTCTTAATGAGGCTATAAAAATTTCATTTATTATTTATTTCCCAAGAATGAAAGATAAAATACACTGTTTCTTTAAAATACATACAGAAACTATTGTCTAGGTTTATAATTTAACGAATAAGTATATATTTTTCATTTATTTTGTATTCTTCAAATAAGATTCAAACTTTTTTTTTTTATAAATATTATTAATTTTTATCTATTCAAAGTTTTATTAAATTTTTGTTTCGTTTGTAGAAACTTAAGAATTAATAAAATTATTTTTAATGTGAATGGTATACATTTTCATCTATACACTTACAAAAATTTTTTATTCTATTATAATTATTTTAGTAAATACAGTATTTATGAGTCATATTACAATAATAAATGAATTGATAACAATATGAATTTAAAGACAAATAAAACTTTTCAACTTTAAATTAATTAAATTATACAATAAGTAAAATTGAAAATTAAAATGTTTGGACAATTGTAATTTATATTATTAAAAAATGTTTTATGAAATAAAATGAATTAATAATAATGTAATGTAATGTTTTAATTGGTAATTGCAATATTTATAGTTTCAACATAAAAATTAATTTTTCTAAATGTATAAAAATAAAATAAAAGAAATATTATTTCAATATTAAAAAATTTAATTTGAAAAGTACAACTTTATAGAATGTATTTATATTTGTATTGTTAAAAATTTCGTTTGTAGCGATTAATGGTCCTCTTTTTTTAATATACACAAAGTAGTAATAGAAACTACTTGATTGATATACTTACTAAAGTTTTGTGAAGTCATCACTAGTGTATGTCAATATTTTTTATTGTTTAAGAAAATATTTTAAAAGCTCTTATCTATCTTTGTTAATTCACAAATCATTAAATATTTAGATATAGAATAACAAATTAGTTATTTTACTATTAAAAAAGATTATATATTGATTATTTCGAGTTTTAAAATATTTCGGCAAATATTGTTACATTCTAAAATGTATTAAAGTAGCTAAGTGATTTTATGAATACAATATTATGTATATAAGAAATATATTTAGTAATTTTAAAACATCATTATTTTTTGTAATTTCAGAACATATTGTATGTATAAGATATATTCTATTTTTTTTTCATTTTTTTTTATCAAATTGAATAAAATTATTAAATTGAATTATATTATAAAATAATACAATAATAAGATATATCTATTAAATAAAAATAACGTCCGGATGATATATATGAATTAACGTTTAATAATTTTATTAAACAAGCTATTTTCAAAATATATTTTTCAAATTTGAATGCTCATTCTGTATTTATTAGCATGAAAAGATCATCCCAGATGATTACTGAAATAAAATATCGAAGCATAATTAAGACTTATGATCTGTATAAATTTAAATAAAAAAATCTCGTTTTTCTTCATTTCATTATTTTATAACATCACAATTTATAATTAACTTTTAGTTTTAGAATTTAGTCTGCTTTCATTATCATTAAGTCTTTTCAATTGAAATTTAAATCAATGTTATTCACGCAATAGTAATTTAATTATAAAAATGATAAGTTATATTCTTCATATGTTAATATTTACGAATTGTCCATGAAAATTTCGTTAAAATCTTCATTAATTATTATTAATGGGTATATATAAGAAATTTAATTTTTTTAAATACAAACTTCAAATTTTTATTTATTTTATTCTTCAATTAATAATGTATATAGATGGATGTTTATAAAAATTAGATTTTAAATTTCAATTACAAAAAAAAAAAAAAAAAAAAAAAAAAAATGAAAAAATAGAGATTTACGAATTACAAATAAATTCTTCAGTTTTCTTTATAAATACTGATTATAATTATTACAATAATTTTCAAGACATTTCAACCGTTGATTGTGCTTTCTCTGAAAGTAGTTGTTCAATTGATATTAAATACCGACGATAACTAAGAATTATATGTTTAATTGATTATTTTTAAAAGTTTTTTTGCACGAGTTTTATCTATAATTTTTTTTTTAAGGCTGTTATTTACTTTATTAATTTAGAGCTTCATAATTTTTTTTTACTGAATCTCATATTCTATAGAGCAGCTTAAAGCCGCATTTTTAGCTAAAGTTTTTCTTTTAAAACCATTTTTATGATTGGTTAGTTGTTAATTATATTTTGCAAGAGAGATAATCTATGTTAAATTCTCTTTACCTTTTATTTTCTATCCAACTCTCCCTTTAACAAACGCTCGTATCGACAGTCATCGAGTGCGCGATTGTTGAATTTTAAGATGAACATCTATATATAGGAAATATACGAGAATGCTCTTGAATAAAATTTAAATAATTTATCATTTTCTTTACCAAAACATTAATATCCCATAAATAGAAAAATATTGCCGATGAAAGGTACAGCCATCTTTGTGACTAGAATATGGTGACGAATACTCGCATCATAGCATAGATCTTGCATTCACAAGAGAAGAGATTTACAGATGGATAAATATAAAAAAAAAAATTACATTGTGCGAAGGTGAAGAGATAATTAATATAAATACAGCAATCCATTGTTTTAGAGAAGAGGTTTTGAGTTAAAAGGCTTGACTTATGAGCGCTTTAATCGTCGTAGGACTTGACAAGTGGGTGAAGAAGGACAGAGGCGCCCGAGCAACCCACTGTATTCTGGATGTAGTCATGGAAGTTACTTTCGATCACCCACATAAGTTTTTTATAGCCCGGTATGACTTGGGTCGGTAGTCTGCACTCACTACCTTTTTGAACAAGAAGGAAGTTCTCAGCTCTGAATATTGCCTCTGTATTCCACATGAATATGTCCGATTGTCCTAAATAAATCATATTTACAATATAAACATAAGCATTGTATTATATAGTGGTATGTACATTTATGCAACGTAGTTATCATTGTAAAGTCTTATGTATATTTTAACAATTGCGTAAAAAATATTGTAAACTGGATTATAAATTATTCGAATGTCTTGCAAATTATTTTCATGATTATTAGCTGTTTGCATTATAATTGAATTTTATAAGAAATAGATATTATTATAATATTGTTTATATTAATCAGTAGTAGTTGCTATGATATTAATCAGCAGTTACTATGATATTCGTCCTTTGGTAAAGTGTCCTTTAATTTTTGTAGCGAGATTGGAAAATTCAAGCGTCTTCTACAATTCATAGAAATTGAAAGTTCGGTAAAGTAACAAATTTGTTGAATTATAAATGACTTAAGATTGTATACATTATAAAAAAGGGAATTATTTTTTCAATTAAAATAATAATTAAGTTTAATTTTTCAACGTTAAACTACTTGACTATTCAAGCATTATTTTAATAATATTATATATAATAATTTTACAAAAGCGTGTTTAAAGCGTGCATGTTACGCGAATGGATTCATTCAATATAAACTGTCTAAATATCAACACTAAAAGAATAACTTTTCAAAATATTGTTGCATTTCAAAATGAGAATATAAAAACAAGCGTTTCATTGAAATTTAATTATATTTACACTAGTGCAATACGCGTAATTTTAAAGTGAATCAATGACAAAGAATAAAGGTAAAAAATTATAAATTATTAGAAATATTTAATCGTGAAAATAAAAGATATAGTTTTTCAATTGTAAGAGCAGTAGGCTGTATAGAAGAGATTATCTAATTATAATATCGAGCTTTAGTATCGAATGAATAACGAATAACGTGATTAATTATCGGAACCTAAGAGACACCATGTTTTAATGTGAGAGAAGATGATCGCGCGGATTATGAAGTGAGTGGCGAATCTTGCGAGCATTGCTCTCGTTATTAAATCAGAATAGACGAGTAAAAAGTAAGTTCAAGGTTCCGACAATATTTTGAATATACAAGAGTTTTGTCAACAATATGTACTATACAAATACATTTCCTTATTACGCTTTAGACCTTTGCGTTCGTTAAGTTTTTATCGGATAATGTACTATATTAGAAAATAAGTGTGAAAATAAGTGAAAAAATAGTTGTTCGAGCAAAGTAAAAATTTCTGTCTATTAAATCGTTATTTGTTGTTATGAAGAATAATATTTCATGATGAAAGTTACCTTTAAGTCTGAAGAAAATGGCACAGCCATTATCGGTGCCGAGAACGACGATTTTGTTATTTTTCAATCCCACGTCAACGATGGAGCCGGTGGTCTTGCTTTTCCTTAGATTATCCGCGTCGATGCTGAAGAGTTTGGTGGAGCCGAGATAAGTGAAATAGAGTACGGAGGTACCAGAGCCCTTTCTAACGAGGGCCAAATAGAGGACGTCGTTGCGTGCGCAACCGATAGTCACCATTTTGGGAAGCATAAGACGGTAACCACTGCCACGATTCACATTATACACGATAATGGCGCGCGTAGCCGCATCCGATATATAGAGAAGTACTTGGCCGTCATGAGCATAGTCCACCACGAGATATTGTATCCTCGAATCGCTACTTATCAATTGGCTCAGGTCGATCATTTTCACAACCTGCATTTATTTCCTTTCATTTTTTAATCATTCAATCTTTTTTTTTCTTTTTTTTTTTTTTTTTTGTATTTTAGTATTTTACTTAATTGTAAATTTCGAATATACTTTATGTATTTAATTTCTGTTATTTTACCTCAATGTAATTAATTAATTATTTTCATTCATTAGGAGTAGGTAATCGATCGATTATCCTCTCATATATTGTGCGAATGAAAATTATCTCATTCATATATCTCATTCGAGTGAATTATGCGGTAGGCGAATGAATAGTACAGGCTGGAGGAGTATCTGCCAGTAAATAAAGAGGGTGTGAGAGAAAAGAGCCACTAAAAGTACCTTGGCCGTTTTGATATTGATGGCGATGACCTTGGGTGGGCACCGCCGGATTGGCTGTTCCAGGGTATTCACGATACCGATATCAAGGACCCACAGAATGTCTTGGGTGTCGAGGAAGAGGTCGACGGCGTTCTGAAGTGCTTCGCAGTTGCCCTCTTCTTGCATCGGCCAGCAAGGGAAGGGTTTGATGCGCGAGCCAAAATCTTTGCTCTTGAGGGAAGTGATACCCAGTGTGAAGGGCACACCGGACTTGTAGCGAGGCATTGCGACGAGTGCTTCGTCTTTGTAGATTTGGACGCGCGTTGCAATAATGTTACGTGGCACGTAGCGTCCCATTGACTCGTAGATATTCTTTGTGCTTTGACAGGGCCAATCAAGATTATGGCCGGCAATGGTGAAGGAGAGTTCGGGCAATAGTTGTCGATCGCATATTCCCTTGCAGGTACTTAACGACAATGCTACCGAGAGCAGCGCATTCGTGAAAAACTTCTTCATCTTCTTCGATATTGGATTCAATTGCCTTTTATAAGTTTTTTTTTTTTTTTTTTTTTTTTTTTATAAATCTGCAAACTTATTTTAAATCAGCTATTTATTGGTATTTTTCCTTACTATTTCGCTCGCTCGCTCGCTCGCTAATTGTTATCATTTCAAATAGCAAATGTTGCTTTATTATAAAAATTTATTATAGGACTGCTGCTATTAGCTGATGAATGCCAGGAGCCACCCGTTATTCCCATATTGTTTGTTATTTGGAAAAAAAAGGAAAAAAGAAAAAAAAAAGGCTGAAAGATGAAAGAGAGGGCAATAGATGCTATATTGCTATAGACTTACCTATAATGTGCCTGTTTTTGATTTTTGATATTTCAATTCGTTGCCTGACTGACGACAGCCTCGATTATGCGAGTTCTTCAAGCAAAGTAATATTCATACATGCACACACATAATACAACTGCTAATACAATGTTCTAATAATTTAGCACTTTTGTCTTTAATGTTAGAGATCAGACTGCTTTTGTAAAAGGCTCGAGATTTTTCATGACATTATTACTTTTTGCGCAAGCGTCGCTCTCGACATAAACAGCGGAGACAGAGACCACGCGGATATTTACGAATATTCGTTATAAATATTCAAAGACATTTTACGGAAGCGGAAATGCGTTGATTTTTTTCTTTCATAATTTTTTTTCTCCTTACTGAAAATTAATCTTTATAGTAGTTTTTTTTCTTCATTTTTTTCTCTTTTTTTCTTCTTTTTTTTCTTTCTTTTTCTCTTTTTTATTAAAAGTGTATTGAATTCTTCAGAATGTAATTAGTCGCTCCCACTAATGCTTATTTGCTGGTAGTTTAAAATAATTCAAATACAATTTTATTACAGTTATTTAATATATTAATTGAGTTCTTCGAAATTAATATAATACATTATATCGTATTAATATTTTATATTTTTATACTTTTTGTTTTGTTTTTTTTTTTTGTTTTTTTTTTTGTTTTGTTTTGTTTTAAATAATTAATTGTTAGATAATTATTTTACAGCGATAATGCATACATTAGTTTAAATTTAAATGCTAATTTAACTAATTACTAGATTGACAAAAATGTATAGTAGCTTATGAGCTCTACGGGAAATAAGCTGTAATCAACAAGAAAAAATTTTATTAATTAATTTTTATTCTTATTTGTACATAATAAATATCTTATATTCACGTTTTTAATAATATCGAAATAGTTTATGAGTGTTATTTAAAGGATTATAAATGTAGAATTAGAAATGTTTGGATCGATTATAAGAGTGGCTTGGTATTGTTAGTCGCAGTCAACTCAATGCAAACGGAAGTAATTGCTACTTGTTACCGGACCTGCAAATTCTTTGATATTGCATGTTTCATTGTTTTGAAAATGGTCGACAATTAACTCGTGCCCGGCTCATCGGGCTTTATTGACTTACGATATATAAAAGACACGAAGCCATTCACAATTCTGCAGTTTGTGCCAATAAGTTATAAGAGCGAACGATCTTTTCGATGAGAGGTGAAAGATGTTTCGTTATTTACTGCTGACATTGCTTATTGTCATTGATATGACTACAACAGCATACGAATTACCGAAATTCTTTGGAAAGAATATTCACTGGACGGGCGGCAGCAATATTGATTGGCCATGTGCCACTACGAAGAACATGTATAAAAGCAATGGCAAATATATCAGTAAAAATGTTATTGCCACTCGCGCAGCCATTTACAAAGATGAGGCATTTCTTACACTTCCAAGGTGAATTGTGCTTATAAGAGATTATAAGACTTTTTCTTATCTTTTACGAATTTGATTTAGAACAATGTCACACGGATTGTTGTTATAGATATAGACCGGGTGTGCCAGCAACCTTGGCTAAAATAAGTCTTAAGGGCAATCATTATCAATGGAGTATCAGTCCTTTTCCTAGTTGGACTTTTCAAGAAGAGGGTAATTGTGCTGCTCTTCAGAGTGTTGTCGATCTCTTTCTTGATCCTCAGGGGATTTTATGGGTACTGGATACGGGCATCGTTAATTCTTTAGAGAACCCTATTCGTAAATGCCCACCTAAGGTTCTTGCTATCAATGCGAGGACAGGAAAGGTAAAGTATTTAATCTTAAAATATCGGAAGATCTGTTAAGGATGGTTGACGTTCATTATTCATAACAATTAGTCGACACTAATTTTGTCGATATAATATCACCTCATTGAAATAATTAATAAATGTAACTAAAATGTAATGAGTTTGTAAAGTCCTTTAGCTTGGATGTAAATATATATGGTTGTATTTTAGGTGGTGAAAACTGTTGACGTTAGTCCGCTAAGCAACGACAGTTCTCGTTTACAATATATTGTGACCGATTACAGTCACGATGGACGTGTTTTCATCTATGTGTCCGACGCCGCAAATCGAGCTATTCTCGTGTTTGACGTGACATCTGGTCGTGGTTATCGCGTTATTTTGCCAAAACCTGTGAGCCTGGGATGCACGCGACGCGACGTCCTCTACATGGCTTTGATTCGTGGCGCAGATGGCAGCAACTACCTTCTCTTCACATATCTCAGCAGTACGAATTTATTTTCTATAAAAACTCTGTACCTGCAGACTGGCTCGGCTTACGGTAAGATCAACGACCTTGGACCTAAGCACGATAAGATCGTTTTTCTTGGAACGGACAATCGCAGTGTCCTGTATTTTCGTAAAGAGGGCGAATCCGATATCTATAGATGGGACCTCCTGGTCTACCCAAGTAACGAGAGCATTCAGAGAGTTTACAAAGGTAATTCCTGTGCTTTTCCGACTCATGTTATGCCTGATTTTAAAAGAGGTCGAATGCGCGTACTCGAGTCCAATTTTCCTGATTTCTTCCAAGGGACCGTTGGATGCGGCATTGATCACACTCTCAAAGTTTTTTAACTCGTCCGAGTATTTATGATTTTTTTTTTTTGCTACTACATAATATCTCCTCATCTATCATTATTTTGTATTTTTTTCATTTTATTCATTTTTTTCTCCATTTCATCGTTAAAAATCAAGCGTATTGTACAAATAATAATAATTGGACAATAACTTTGGATTATTATTTCTTTGTAATAATATTATCAAGCTTGTTGTTTAGATTTTCTACGGAGCTTATATTTTTATCAATATTTCTTTTATAATAAATATGTAAATATATAATGTCTCTAGTGAGCATATTATTGGATTGAAATAAATAAAATTTTGTTTTCATAGCAATTATAAATTGAATCTTGTACATGTAATAAGAAAGTAATATTACTAATACACTCTTCGTCCTTTATTTTGTACAGACATTTTTACGAAAGAACAAATTAATGCAAGATAATAGAGTTATTTTATCAAATTATATTGATTAAATCATTTGCAACATTATTTTATTAACTATTAATTTTTTTTTAACTCCTTTTTGCAATTAATGTCATACAGATTATATTTTGCATTTAGAGAATAAATACGGACTTGCGGATTGCAACAAGACATGCAAGTTAATGTTATTTAATTTCCGTAACTTCGGTTTAATTACGAGGATTTAGTAATATAAAACTAATATAAAAGAGTAATGACATTTTAATTCTTATACTAAATATAATTTAATTTAATAATTGAAAGCGAATATTTGAGCTTTATGTACATATTTCAATTAGAAAATATGTACAACAAAATATTTCTATTTCATTAATAACAAAACTTCTATTCAAATTGTAGTAGAAAATTTATTTGAATAAATATGTCATGAAATTAATTTAAAGTTTTGAAATAATTACGACTATTTTATTTACCCTTATATAAATATGTATAAGGAATATATTTACCTAATGAATGATCATTATGATTAATATTTTAATACAAATTATTGATATATTAATAGATAATGTATTTGAGGTATAATAAATGGAACAGACAAATTATCGAAAAATCTATAATTATTAATAATCAATATTATTATTTGTACAGATTTATAAAGGCTATGATGCAATTTGTAAAAGATGTTTGGATGAATTTAAGTAATAATAACCTAATTGACATAATTTCGAAGTAATAAATTTACAATTATACATTTCAAATGAGTAACTAACTACCTTTGGCTATTTATTATATTGTACATAAAAATTGATTTTAATGTTCATATTCATAAAGAGAAGAAAACCATGTATATACAGCTTACAATGAAATTTAATAAATAAAGCTTAATGAAAATATTTTACTTTTGAGTATTATTGTTATTGAAGAATTTTTATTTTGAATGTATAATATTCATTAACTACCAATTAAAATTATTTATGATTTTAATATAAATAATGTATACAAATAATTTTATTTCTGAATTAAAAAAAAATAATCGTTGAAAATAATGAAGTCATTACAATATTTAAGATATTATTTGTTTTATGAAAAATTGAAAATTTTTTACATCAATTTTAATTAATTTATAGTGTAATGACGATATTGTCTAAACTATTTTTACTAATATCGAACAAAATTTCGGACAATAAATAAATCGAGCCAATTAATAAATGAAAATTAAAGTTTTTTATAATATAATAATAATAGCGGTACATATTATATAAATTTAAGCATGATAATAAAAAACATGTAAAAAAAAAATAAATAAATGTGTTCCAGTATTTAATATAATAATAAGTGTTAAAGTACGTTGAATAAATAATGGAGAGTTAGGAAACAGATTGGAAAGACAAATAAATTGGTTAAACGCGTGTACATCATCATTCGCAATTTTTTCATTGACCTCAACGACAAAAACATTTTCCTGTCGGAATATTGTTTTTGAAAGGTGTTTGTGTTCAAGGACGCGAAACCAAGATTACGGTGCCAAGATAGGCATAACGAAGTGTTCCTTATTCAACAAACTTACGATTGCTGTATCTTTTCGAGTACGAACGTAACATTTCGTTTCCAGCAATCTCAGCTTTACAAGTTATTAATATTAATTTGATAAATGGATCTCTCATTAACAGTTACATTATAAGATTTTTCTTTTATTCTTTATTAAATTTTTACATTGTCGTTGTTGTGTTTAAAAATTTTAATTGAAAATTCCATCTTTTGATAGTATATTTTGATATTTTTAAATTAAAAATACTATTATTGTAATTAATTTAATTAAAAAAAAATTTGTTTACATACTATATGCGCTTAAATAATTATTATTATATATTATTTGATGATTTTATTGATTATATTGATTGTAATATTTTATTAAATATAATTAATATTAATCGTATTTAAAAAATTTATTTAATATTTTATAATTTCTTTATATTATAAATAATTATTTACTATTTACAAATATTTGATATTCTTTTAATCAAGTAGTGCATCATCAATTTATATGGCTTATACAGTGGATTCAAGCGAATGAGTGCTAATCATTAGCGGAAGAAATATTATGATTTTGACAAAATCATTGTTGTAAAATGACTGTCAGTAACAGCATATTTTTTAATCATTATAGAAAAAATCCTATAAATGTATAAATAAAAATAATTATTTATTTTATTGTTGGCATATGATTTGATTGCGAAGTTAAACGACATATTATTTAAAGTATAATTTTAATGCATTACAAACTTAGCCTTTTTGTAAATTAATTAATAAATAATTACCGCTAAATGCTTACGACTGCATACTATTGCATAAGACTATTTTATATTTTTCATTCGTCACTTATTTAATTACTTTAGATTAATATTAAAAATTTCTTGTTAATACTAATTCAGAGTTTATTTATTGAATGATATATATATATTATTTGACATTATTAAATATAAACCAAAACGCTTGTCACAATATTATCATTAATTCTCTTTTGTCCTATTAAAAATTATTATTTTAAAAGAATATACTGAAAATAAATTGATATTGAAAGAATTGTTTGTTGGAACAATTTAGTTTATATATTTAAATTCATACAATTACGCAATAATAATAATACACAATAATAAAATTTATTTATAAATAATAAATATTATTTTTTAATTTGAAACACAAAACCAAAGAACTTTTAAGATATTTATAAATAAATGAAAATTTTATAAACAGTAGAATTTAATACAATAAAGAATTCTGTAATGAGTTTCGTTATGGCAGCATTTATTTTAGAAAGAATATGTATACATTCGTTTACGAATAAATAAAAAATATTAAATTAAAAAATTTTTTTTACAATTATTACTCATATTCATTGTTTTATTTATTTAATAAAATCATTATTAATTTATATTTATTATTTATTAATAGAATTAGTATTAATTTCATTATTAATATTTTCGATATTATAATTAATAAAACGAAGAATGACTTAGATGTTAGGTTGTAAAATATAATTTGAATTATTTAGAAATTTTATTATGATTACATAATTTAATCTTAAGGATTAAAAATAATATAAATAAATGCCCAAATTTTATGATGTAAATAAGTATTAGAGTAAAAACTAATTAAAATTTCTACTTATACTGTTGGTTTTTTTTAATGCCATTGTTTAATAATCAAAATTAAATTTATAAGTCTATTAGATTATTTTATTTTTATTATGTTATTTTGTAATTCTTTGAATTATATAAATTATTAAATTTGAAACGTATTTTAAAATTGTTCAATATAAAAATTTACGAATTTAAAATTTTTATTTTTACTCTTTTATCGTTTAGGTCATTTTATTATTAAATAAATAATAAATAGGACAATTTGTGAAATGCTTCCAAAATATATTATGAAACTTATATCGTTAAGCTATAAAATTTACATTATATTTTTATCAATATTTTATTTTATTTGTAAAAGTAACCCGATTAAATAAAATTCGGCGTTTTAACTTTACTTAATACTTCTCAAGTTTTTATTAATTTTTAGATAATTAAATAAATAAATTAATTGTAGTTTAAATTATACCAATGACTTTTTAAAAAAAAAGTGAAAATTTGAAGAATATTATTTATAAAAGTCTTTTGGATTTAGATTGCGTAATATTTCAATTATGTATCATAAGTTCAATTGCATCATTAATTAAAATACTTTTAATAATATAATTGACAAGCATATTTATATTATGGTTAACGAAAATATATAAAACCACTTAAAATACTACATTAAAAATCATTTAAATAATTATTACAAATATTTTTCGAATACTTCGGAAAATTAAAAATTTTTTAACTGTTTAATGCATGTAATCTTTTCCAATTAAATTAAACAATTGCTTATTATTCTGGTTTTAATAAATTTCTAATCTTTTAAAATCGATATTTAAATGAAATCACTATACTAATATATATATATATATATATATATATATATATATATATATATATTGTAAAAAATATTATCGTTGCTTTCTATTTTTAATGTACTTATATTGATATAGAACACGAATCATTATAAAAAATATATTTATAAACTACTAATTATTCATATTATAAATATTAAAATATTTTTTTTTAATTCTATAAAAAATTGTTTACAAATGTTTATTTTCAATCCGTTTATAATATATATATATATATATAAGATTCAATTATTTTACCCGTTAATTCATGAAATTCATTTATTCCAATATAGTTATTAATTTTGTTTATAAATAAAGTTTTAATTGTTCAATATTTTCATCTTAGTCAATAAAAACTATATCTAATAAATAAATTTACATTTTACTAGCTAATATTTTTCGTTTACAGATTGTTCGGTTTGCTGGATGTTTTCTTAAATTCTCATGTATTCTTGTAAAAAAAATAGTATAGGTACGTGAAATTGCAATATTATTCTCATGTATATTTTTATAAGAAGTTCAAAGTCTCAAATTAAATATTCCCTCAAAAATTTAATAATCTCGAATAATGTGAATAAAATTTGTTCTCGTAAATACTAATGTGGCACAT